TTCGCAAATGCTACAAAAGCAGCTAAAAACAGAATTCCTTAGTCCAGCGTTGCCTGAAGAGACAGAGACAGCTGAAATGCAATCAAAAATGCCTCCTGTCGGTGTGGAGGATTTTGATAAAGCTAATTGGAATGATCCGTTTCAGGTGTCACACTATGCCATGGATATATTTAATTACTTAAAGGCCCGAGAGGCTGAATTCCCAATAGACGATTACATGAAGCGCCAAGTGCATTTGTCAAAATGGATGCGTACTCTGCTTGTGGACTGGATGGTGGAAGTTCAAGAAACATTCGAACTTCGTCATGAAACTTTGTATTTAGCGGTGAAAATGGTCGATTTGTTCTTGTGCAAAGTTGTTATCAATAAGGACAAGTTGCAATTATTGGGAGCGTCCGCTCTATTTATAGCGTGCAAATTCGAAGAGTGCACACCGCCATTAATTGAGGACTTCTTAAACATTTGTGATGGTGCTTACAAGCATGAAGAGCTAATACATTTGGAGAAGTGCACTTTGCGAACTATTGACTATGATCTCGGAATACCTCTGTCTTATCGCTTCTTGCGACGTTATGCTCGATGTGCAAAAATAGCCATACCTACACTTACTTTAGCTCGCTACATATTGGAGTTGTCTTTGATGGATTATGATACCATAGCTTTTAGTGACTCTAAAATGGCCGCAGCCGCTTTGTTCATTGCCCTGCGATTGGTTGGTGAAGAGGAAGCATGGAATGCCACTTTAGAATATTATTCTGGTTATAAGTTAATGGATTTTGGAGAAATTGTGCCAGTATTAAATGAGGGATTGCATCGTAAACCAGAAGGCACCATCAAAACCATACGCAGCAAATATTCATGTAAAATATTTCATGAGGTAGCTAAAGTGGCATTGATGACTACTGAAGAACTTTTTGAAAACAATTTAGACTTAGCGTCATATTCAATGAGTGCACCTATTAATACATTAAAGAATGCGGAAGGTGGAGGAGACGCTTCGTAAGATTCACAAATAATACTAATACCTATTAAAAAATAGGAAAGAAAGCATGTTGTGCTCAAATATTGAAAAATAAAAGAAACGAAAAACGCAAAACTAGTTCAAATCTTGTTTTTAGATATTAGAATTTCCCCTTTATTATCTAAATGTTTGTATTTTTTATTTAAATTTAATCAATTACTCTGATATCTTTTCGTTTGTTACCCTTTTTACTTCATTACGCTGCTTTACAACTATCCTTGCTATCACATCCCTCTCAATGTTGCTTTTTATTTAGTAATATTTAGTACGCTTTTATTCCAAACCGCTTCATTAAATTTAGTAAATAGAGGTTTGTTAAAAGTTGGCTTATGCACAGACTTCTCTTTATAAGCAAACCCGTCTGTTCTTAGATTGATTGGCGGAGCAAATTTCCAATTCTTTCATTTAACTCTAACCTCATTTTCACGACTAACCCCCTTCTCCCGATCATTACACTTAAGTACATAAGCCGTAAGAAGGAAAAATATTTTGTTAATACATATGCAGATTTTATAAAGCCTATAAAGCGTCTTTCTGAGTGTTGTAAGCAGTTTTAACGAACAGTGGGCAGCTGAGACCGATTACTTTTAAAATGTGCGTTCAAATTTACATGTTGTCTGGTTTATAAGTAACGAGCTATGCTGTTTTATCTTTAAACACAAAGTTGGTCCTAAGTTATAATGTGTTGTGGCAGTGTCTTTTGACATGGCGAAATTTCAATGCCAACGTGTTATGCGAGAACGTCCAATAGTTTTGCCAAATCTGAAGTCGGTGGAGGCATTTTTGCGACCAGAAGAATATTTACCGCAAGCATTATAAAGACAGACAGCCAAACAGACGGTCACACTTAAATCGGTTTAGAATTTGATGCTGATCAAAAAGATGCAAACATTTTGGCAAAATAAATGTACCCCACCTCTCGTAGGCGGGTATAAAATGACTGCCGATGCGTTTGTTTAAATTGCCAAATAAAAATAAAAAAAAATTTATGAAAGCGGAATTTGTTCATTTCGATTGAATAAATAGCTTCATAAAACAATGCGCGTTGAATATGTGTGTACATAAAGTATAGCAGAAAAATACTAATAAAGGAATTTATTCGCTTATATTTCCTTCTTATTGAGCTATAAATGCTACATTAGAATGCATGTTAAGTGTATGTTTGCATAAAGTTGTATGACTTTTTCATTCCGATTGATAATGTATTGAAGTATTTGTTTGTTTGCGTATCTTGATACAACAAAATTAATAATACACGGATTTGTTCACTTCTATTCCTTACATACTAAAACATCCTTTTTATAAAAAAATTTACGCCGAACGTATGTACATATGCATAAATCAACATTGATTCGTTATTTTTATACAACCGCGTATGCTGAACTTTTTTTTCTTTTATGAAGTCTTTAGTGCGATTCTCATTATGATTATCATTACCGTAACCAAATGCGAAACCTCCCCAAGCACCTCCCGAAACTAGCTGCAGTCTTTTCTGCGTCGCAAACAATTTTATCCTTAAGTGGAAAATCCCAATTTTCTTCTTTCTACTTTGCCAATTCTTCACGACACGTGGAAACGCCTGCATTTCTGAATATTTATGAAAATAGTCCAAAAGTAATTTTGTGGAATGAATTGCACTTTACTTAAAAGGAGGAGAAAATGATGAATGCAATGATTCGTTCGTTGTAGTTTTGAGTTCTCTAAATATCAAGCGGCATTTCTCTATCGCCAGATGCCCTCACTTCGACTACATTGACAAAGTTTCCAACCATAAATTCGAGTATACTCTGCCTTTGCTGCCTTTTAATGCATACAAGGAGGAAGATGAAAAACTACTCTCTTTGGTGATATTAATGTAGAAGAATCGGCATTCCTTGCTGTTCTGGGCATGAGAATACAAATGGATGTCCCTTGGACGGAACATGTACTGAGATGCAACCAAGTCGAAGTCTCTAAATCTTGTTTGGAGATGCTCGACCGCATACAGCGAAAGGCTCAGGGCAGCGTGGTGCTTAAATGCAGGTACATCCAAGGCAAGTATTCTATAGACATAGAAGAGATATGTCCAGCAACTAATTCACTTATCAGGATCACAAGGCTTTCTCAGCGTTACCAATTACTCGTCCTGGACTTGCCTGTATGTCACACTGACCGCTGACTATCACAGAGACACTCCTCCCTTTTTCCATCCCTGTCTACCTACAAGCCTTCCTGTCCACCAGCGTACTCGCACCAGTTTAAACGAAACGTTAAACGTATTACATTTTCATTTGTTTTATAAATTTCAATTTATCAAGAGTATTAGATGGTTCTCGCCGATCTTCGGCATTTAATGCGAACATGGCCTCCGAAACTATCGCAACTCAATTGGAAAATTGTGTTATATCCTATTCATGCGAAAATTATCACTTATATCAGTCGTGGGACTTCATATCGGAGAATCCCTTTAGAAGACGTACCCTGACTGTTCAAGGAATTCACAACTCCTTTTTCAGTAACGAGTCTCTGCAAGCCGGAAATTGCTTTTACGACATTTAATCGATCCAGGAGACTTACATTATGGTTCGTATTACATGTTTACCACATATTTTTGAAAAGTTCTTCGAAGTCATGGTTGAATTGCTTGCTATTGAACGTTGTGAAGTTGAAATAGTTGTCAGAAATTTAGAGATTTCAAAACTAACCTAACTGAAAATTGTTCCTAAGCTCTGTATTAAAACAGAAGTGATGTTAACTCATAAGTAGCGTCGAAGTTTAAAAAGCGCATCTTAGCCGATAAGTTTGATAATGGGTTGTTGAATGAAACGATATTGTTAAAAATATTTAATTCACATTACAATTCAACCAAGAACTTATATACTAAGAGGGGCAACAGTCTTTTCGCGCAAACATCCTAATTAAAATCAAGTGCAAATAGATTGGCATATATCTTTTCACGCAGGCGGCAGTAGTCTCGACCTGCTCGCAAACACTTTCACAAGTTTGCGATATTTGATTCTTCAATTGTGTTTAAAGCTTTGGTTACTCGATAATATTCTTGTACGTAAAATAGAAATCCGCATAAATAAAATACCAGGCTTGCAACGTTCATATGAAACCTAGCGCCCGTACATAGAGTAAAAGGGCAGAAGTTATTGCAATACTTGTCACATCATTATTCTTAGGCCTATTTTTAAATTTAAGGGATACAGATCTAATTTGTTTTTAATCAAAATTCCTTTAGAAAGCTAATTAATCACTTTTCACTGAAATTTGCAAATATGTCTGACGGTTCGATAAGCAAACAAAGTAAATGAACTCAGTCTGCGGCAGGGATTGATTGATTACAAATGCGAGACATGTAGATATGAAACCGAATCCTTGTCACAGGTGGTCTTAGCGCGCTAAGCGGAGAGCACATATAAATGCGGTTACATTTCGTTTATCGCTTTAAGAGCTGGCAACAATAAGCAATTGTAAGACCAGCTCATACCGCAATACAAACATATATTCTGTAGCAAGGAAATTGCTGAGTATTGCCAAATAAACGGCATTTGCGGACAACGTTTTGCCTTTGCTCGAACGATACAAAAAAATACTTTTTTTTGCATTGTATCCTAACCGAGATGACAAGTAGATCTGTACTGACAATCGCAGGCATAACGATTCATTGGTAGATCTAAGCTAACCATCCACGTTGGCTTCGAGGCTGAATCGCTCTAGCAAGAAGGCGACATTCTGTGTTTCGTGGAACCAAAAGAATGTGGTCTATAATTAGCTATTAAAATTTGATGAAACTCCACCAATCACAATTAATCTATTTGAAGTGTCCGTCGTTCAAAAAAAAAAAAAAAACAGTGAAATATGAAAAAGGCCAACATAAAGTAATCCGTTAATCCATCAATAAGGAAAAATGGCTTCATGATAACGTACTTGGAAGTACTCAGTTGGGAAGTCTCAGCCCATGTTCACTCGCCGAACCCAACCGGTTTCAACGGCCACTTGTTTGCGTCGATGGGACACACTTTTGCTGCGCAGCGTTTCACTTCTTACTAAAGTGTACCAAATAGCTTATGGGGATAATGAATTATTTTTTACAAGGTACAACGGCATTTGCTTTTTTTCTTTCTTTTCTTTTACGTGTTTATTTGAACTCTATGCTCCCGCGATATCGTTTTTCTGTACGTTTAAGTGTGCCATCAAACTCATCATCTTTTTCGATTCTAAACACATAATTTGCAACAACTTATTTTACCTTACGCCACTTGAGATACAAGGGTACGCGCAACACCCAGATGGATTTGAGTTAGATAAACTTTTGTTTATACCGAGCAATCTAAGCTTATCGGTGCACCTGTCCATTTTGTTTCCTCGTGTCCAATCGACAGTCCGTAATTTTCAAGATGTTTCGATGAAATTTGGTAAGCCGATGTCGTTTGGCCAAAAAATGAACGCTATTGACATTCTAATATACCGCCCTGTTTTGAAAAATCGTTATATGAATAGTTGTAGGGTGACGCGGCGTATCACTCAGTGGTGGGCCGTAGCTCACTGTAGCATTTCCCCTCGTGCTCGTCATCGTTGATATACCTTATATTAGTAAAATTGAGAATGTAAAGAGAAAGCTACTCTT